AATAGCACAAGTGAGATTAAAATATCCCCAATGCCCCTACTCGCTATACTGCGAGTAGGGGCATGTTCACTAAACAGTGAGCAGCCTTTGGCTGCTCACTGTAAAAAAAAACCCCACTATCTGGCCCCCACCCCTGAGCGGCGGGTGGGGGCCATAAATTACAATGGGGGGGGATGGGGACCTACTGTCCTCCCCCAGCCCTGGGTGGCGGGTTGGGGTCATAATGATAATGAGGGGGGGACCTACTGTCTTCCCCCCCCGGCCCCTGGGCGGCAGGTGGGGGCCATAAAGATAATGAGGGGGGGTGACCTACTGTCCTCCCCCCCCCGGCCCCCACCCCTGGGCGGCGGGTGGGGGCCCTAAGTCAAATCCCCCCCCCCATCAAAGTTGACTAGGGGTCCCCAAGCCCCTAGTCACCCACTCCCCTACTTACGCCCCTCACCCTAAAAATAGTGAGGGGAGAATAAAATTACTAACCTGTAAAGTAAAATTAAACTTACCATTCGACGTCTTCTTTTTTCTAAAATCTTAATTTTTCAGCCCCAAAAAAGGCCAAATAAAAAACCATCATACCCGTCGAACTTAAAATAAAATTAAAAAACCAGAGCCAAAAAAAAAAAAAAACAGACGAAAAAAATAAAATAATCCTCCTTCACCCTTTGAGGGCTCCGCGCAGACTGAGCTCTGCAGGGCAGGGAAAGGCTTATAAAGCCTTGCCCCACCCTGCAATTAGGCTAAGAACACTCTGATTGGTGAGTTTAAGCCAATCAGAGTGCTCTTTGTCATTTTACACAGCGTGGGAAAGTTATTTAGAATTTTCCCACTCTGTGTAAAATGACACAGAGCACGACAGTTCGGCATGACAGTGCCGCTTTTATAAGGTTTTGATTAGGTTATCACCTGAACCAAATCTTTTTTAATGAGGGGAAGTATAAAAACCACTGGAGTGGTCATCTCTCTCGCAATAGGACCAGCTGGATGGCAAAAACTGTGCTTGTAGTACCTTAAAAGTAATTGGAATAAAAAAGAAAATTACTGGCAGAGGGATACAGTAAGTATCAGGCAGTAATGACCCTTCTCTGGCCGTGATGACCACCAGCTCATACGACTGTCACTCAACAACTGTAGAATGACATAAAGTGACCTACAAATATAATAGCAAATGTCAGCTGAGGTGAAGTGCACTGCAAGAACAGTTTGAAACAAACTCATAAGAGCAGGGCTGAAGTCATGCAAAGCTAGAAAAAAACAGTCCATCAATGAAAGGCAAAGACAAGCTAGGCTGACGTCTGCCAAAGTCCATAAGAATTTGAGTAAGGTAATCTCTGATGGGTCCAATTTCCAACTTTGCCCAAGACTTGATTGTATAATGGTTAAATTGAGACCCGGAAAGTCTCACAAGCCACGCTATCTTTCACCCACTGTGAAATTTGTTGGAGGATTAGTGATGATGGGGTGGTGGTTAAGCAAGGCTGGAAACAAGCAGATTCATCTTTGTGAAGGACACATGAATCAAGCCATGTACAAGGTTATCTTGGAAGAAAATGTGCTTCCTTCTGCTGTGACGAAGTTCTGTCAACTGAGGATTGGTTTATTCAGCAGGACAATGCTTCATGCCACACAGACAGGTCAATCAAGGTATGCATTGAGGTCCACCAGATCAAGACTTTGTCACTGCCAATGCAATCTCCATACCCGAAACCCATTGAATACCTCTTAGGATCAATAGGAAAATGATTGGTCACAGGCCATTAAAACAAAGTTGCTTGAATTTATGCACCAGGTATGGCATGAAGTCACTCAACAGCAATGTGAAAGACTGGTAGAGAGCATGCAAGGATGCGTGAAAGCTGTGAAAGAAAATCAGGGTTATTCCAACAAATATTGATTTCCGAACTCTTCCTAAGTAAAAACATTATTTAAACATGAATACCTATTTGTTTTCCTTACATTATTCAAGGTCTTCAAACATTGCATCATTTTTGGTATTTTGAGCAATTCTAATTTTCTGCAAATAAATGCTCAAAATAACAATATTATTATTTGGAATTTGAAAGAAATTTTGTTAGTAATTTATAGAATTTTTTTTATATATATTTTACTCAAACACATACCTATAAATAGTAGAATTCGAGAAATTGATAATTTTGTTGTGGTCTCCTAATTTTTTTCCAGAGCTGTAAATACAGGTTTGTGTGTGTGTGTGTGTGTCAGGACATACAAATCAAATTTATTTTAATCCACACATGAAAATATCTATACTTCATGGATTTACCTGTTATGTCTCTACTAAATAGAGAAATCTGTGAGATATGATGCCGCATCAATAAATTGAAGTGAATCAACACAGATCACGATATGTTAGTATGGGTGGCAACAGACAGAGAAGTGGGCTTAAGCCAATCTGTGGTTCATTAGGCCAACCAAAAATGGAGATAAAAGTAAAGATAATGATCTCACACAGAGAAATACAATGGGAAAGGTTTCTTATTTTTGCAATACTCTGACACAACATGAATAATATATTGCAGTGGCGTAAAAAGAGAGAGTCTTCTAACAATGATTGCTGATCCTAGTAAATGAGCCTTACTGAATATAAGAGTTGCAGTGTGAATGTAGTGGCCCTGTAGGTCTAGCTGGCTATGTCAAGGCCTGTAGTATGAATGCACTACTGTCAGATGTAAGAGGCCGTGGTACAATATATGAGGAGTGTCATGTCTCAGACATTTACTATACATAGCTATGTGGGATTGCTTTATTAAAAGATTCATGACTTTGGTAAGTAAAGGTAGGAGAGGTGGATATTAGTGGGTGAACTGAGTGTTGAGATCTGGGGGTTGGCCATAAACTGCTCAAGCATGATGGACATGCATCTCAATCCAAGTACAATAAATTAACAGCTTTGCCTGAGGCAATGGCATGGACTATCCACACACTGTCCTGATAGGTCAGTTCAACATCCACAGACTCCCTCTTGGACTGTGTTCTGCAGCAGTCTAAGTCCAAGTAGGTAAGTATAAATAAGTATAAAGTTAGCAGAATAAGAAAAATCTGTATGAGCAAGAACTTGTTACAGACATGTATAATGCCAGCCTGTTGGCCCTAGTGATGTTGCTGGCAATTAATTTCACTCCAATATGGTATTGATGTCTGGTGAACTGGTGGTGTTTTCGAGACTAATTAGATAGAGACTCTTTAGGCCAATAAACAGCTCAGGCTTGTCCACCTGCTCATTGCTCAGCAAAGGAGGCCACTAGTAAATTGCTCAGTCGAAAATAAATTGTGAATGGTGGTGGATTACTTTGACTTGCTTAACAGGGTCCTACAAGTGTGTTCATTCAATAAGCAAATTAATGTTTAATGAGATAAACAGAATGTGATAATACGCAATGTCAATAGGCTGATATGCATACATTTCTGTGACATTGTGCACCATATTTTCTTGCAGAAACCACAACTGGACTGATCGTGGCTGTGATCCTGCTATTGCTATTGGTTATTATTTTGCTGTTCCTCGTCTGTTGTTGTAGGAAACGCTATAACAGTAATGCAGTGTAATGACAGAACACCTTAGAATTATCTTAATTTTAAGATCACTGAATACAATCCAATAAGCCTCCTCCAACACTCACACTTCATCATACAATGAGATGAGGACGCAGAAAATAAGGCATGTAATAAACACACGAAAATGCCAACTTGGTTGAGGAGGCAATTTTATCATAGCTGCTGGTGCTAAATGTGTACATTTTGCAATTCAGGAGTGAATCATGAAAAAGTTTTGAATGAAATGGAAGTAAAATATGGATGTAAAACAATGTTTTATATAGGCCTAAGGAGAGATGTAAATATAAGAGTAGATAAGAGCTGTGATGGACAAATATCCTAAAAGCCAGTCATTCTAAGAGCTATTTATTGGAATATGAGCTTACTCCCTACACTCAAATCACAAATGTGCGACTGGCCAAACAAGCCGACTGGCAACAATAAGCAGAAGTTACACAGCAGAGAAAATGTAAGTAAAAAGTGGACTGTGGACTAACATGAAGAAATGAGTTTTGCTGGTTCATTAAGAATCTTTGGCCATAGCCTTACATCCACCTTGTGTTAACAAGCATGGAGACTCATCTTCTGCACAAGGAAAATGTATTTTTTTTTCAGACCTGCGTATAAGTAGCATAGTGCAATGTATACAGTTATAGACAGTTATATAGTGATATAAATGTTTAAACAATGAATATATGAAAAGATATTTAGGTGCAAACAGCCATATAGGGTATATAAGGGAGTTGGAGAATGCTTCTATATAAATGTTGCAAATATTGTTCTTCCTCATTCCTTCACCAATAAAATGTTCAGTTTCAGTTTCTATACATTGATCAGAGGGAAAGTAAATGTTGTCAAGTTTCCCCTTAATAACACATTGTAGTCCATGAGGCTCACAATGTTCAGGGCTGTATTCTAGCATTCGGGGAGAGAAATGTATCTATCTATAGATACATTAAAGTATCTCTCTCTCTCTCTCTCTCTATATATATATATATATTAAAGGCATTCTATTAATCTAATTCAAAAAAACTAAAAAAAAAACTATTTTCTTAAAGTGGCACTGTCACTTTTAGCATCTTTGCAAAAAAAAACAACCTACATACCTGAAGTCCTCCCTCACGAGGGCTGCTATTTTCTTGGTGGCTCTATCTTTAGCTCCATCTGCTAGAAGCCTTCATAAATTATATGCTAATGCCATAGAGGGCAATAGAAGATCACAAAAGACTGCAAGAAGCTCAACAGAATTTCTGAGAAGATGCCTTTTCTCATAACTGTCATTATTAATCAATACTGGGATTTTACAAAACTTTTTGGTGGAGACTATGCCCAGGGAGCGTTGACTTGGACGCTGGCCCCAAGAGTGGTCCTGAAAAACCTTTCAAATGGAGTCACATCCAGAGTTGAATGTCCTTTTAAGTATCCTTTATTTTAAATGGAACTCAAGAAGTGTACTAGAGCCTGGGCCCCATACAATATTGAATCAGCTACACCCAGGACTCCCAGCACACAACCCTGCAGGACTTGCCATAAGCAGAGCCTCGGCCCAATGCAATATTGAATCAGCTACACCCAGGACTCCCAGCACACAACCCTGCAGGACTTGCCATAAGCAGAGCCTGGGCCCCATACAATATTGAATCAGCTACACCCAGGACTCCCAGCACACAACCCTGCAGGACTTGCCATAAGCAGAGCCTGGGCCCCATACAATATTGAATCAGCTACACCCAGGACTCCCAGCACACAACCCTGCAGGACTTGCCATAAGCAGAGCCTGGGCCCCATACAATATTGAATCAGCTACACCCAGGACTCCCAGCACACAACCCTGCAGGACTTGCCATAAGCAGAGCCTGGGCCCCATACAATATTGAATCAGCTACACCCAGGACTCCCAGCACACAACCCTGCAGGACTTGCCATAAGCAGAGCCCGGGCCCCATACAATATTGAATAAGCTACACCCTACATCTGCATATAAGTCATGAACAAAGGCTCCTAATATGTCTATGAGGTGTAAATATTTTCCAGCTTGTTTAAATAATGGTATTATAGCAGAATATACCTGTTAGCATTCTTTCTTATTTGTATTATGCCTTGTATATTGTTAACAATAAACACAATGTTGTTTATGATAGTCTTCAGTTTGATTTTTTTTATATAGAGAAACATCTGGGAAGCAAATGCTCCAAGGCTACTATCGTTTAACCCTTTAAGGATAGAGGAAATAATTCAAGTTCTGAAGCAAAGCAAAACTTAGAATGTGTGCTATGTGTTTGTTTTACTGGAGTTTAAAGGGTTCTCTTCAAATGCTCTCTGGTTATTGGGACATGAGAGTCTAAAAAGATTATTATGGCACTAGAAAAAGTCCAGACGAGCTGCAAAATTGATAAAAGGAATGGAGCATTTTAGTTATTAAGAAAGGTTAAAAAAATTAAATCTGTTTAGTTTGGAAAAACGGTGCCTGAGAGGGGATATGATAACATTATACAAATATATTTGGGGCCAGTACAAACTTTCATCTGGAAATCTATTCATAAACAGGGCTATACATAGGACACTCTCGATTTGAGGCTGGAAGAAAGGAGATTTCATCTAAGGCAAAGAAAAGGTTTTTTTACAGTAAGAGAAATAAGGATAAGGAATTCTCTGCCTGAAGAGGTGGTTTTGTGGTCAGAGTCATTACAGATGTTTAAACTGCAATTGGATAAATACTTAAACATAACATACAGGGATATAATTTCTAATTAGTGGGGTAATAGCTGCTTGATCCAAGGAGATATCTGACTGCTATTTTGTGGTCAAGAAGGAATTTTTTTCCTAGTTTGTGGCAAAATTGGAAGCGCTTCAGACTGGGTTTTTTGCCTTCTTTTGGATCAACAGCAAAAACATATGTGAGGAAGGCTGAACTTGATGGACGCAAGTTTCTTTTCAGCTATGTAACCGCCAAAGACAAATACCCTTGCATAACCAATGCCACAATTATTGGGAAACTCCTTTATTAAATGCTTGGATAAATGCAAAAGGGTATGTCAACTAAATGTCTAAAAACTGAGGGGGTAAGTAAAGTAAATCACTAAATTATGGACCCAATTGGAATGAGTGCACTAGAGTATAAGAGCCCTGCTGAGGCTGCTAAAAAATATTAATGTAATACTAATATCGCAACATTGTATCAGATTACCATTCATTACCAAAAGAGCAGCAAAAAGCAGTAGTAGGAGTAGGCTGGATAAAGAATAAAGGCAGGGAAATAGGTGCATAGCACTAACCTATCCTTAACCCCTTAAGGACCAAACTTCTGGAATAAAAGGGAATCATGACATGTTACACATGTCATGTGTCCTTAAGGGGTTAAAGGGACACTATAGTCACCCAGACCACTTCAGCTCAATGAAGTGGTCTGGGTGCCAGGTCCCTCAGGTTTTAACCCATCACACGTAAACATAACAGTTTCAGAGAAACTGCTATGGACGTTCTGCGCGATGGAGGCAAAATTCTCCTCCAGCGTCGCAGATGCGCCTCTAATGGCTGTCTTCTGGGTGGGGCCACCCTCAGGGCACTATAGTGTCAGGAAAACCGCTTTGTGCGCCTTCGTCCAGGGCATCTATTAAAGCGCCACTTACTTAAAGCGCAGTATTTAAATATTGGTGCCCAAATCCAAGCCCCGCCCCTCTTGAGAGTTCCTCAAATCGAAAAAAGATGGTGGCATGGAGGGAATTGGACACACATTCCTTTGAGTCACGGGGAGTGAACTAGGATAGAGCACAGTAATACATCCATATTCTAAGGAGATAATAAAATGATATGTTAACACCTGCAGTTTTGTTTGCCCGAAGTTCTTATATGATTATGAACAAAAATGACTGACCGGCTCTCAATAGAGTCTATATAGAAGTCAATGTTCATCAGAGATGGGATGTTAAAAATTAAAATGCCCCCGCCCCTTCGACTGGAGGAAAATATCTCTTAAATATCTGGGTATTAATCTAGCAAAGTCAGATTCACAACTAATTCAGGAGAACCATATACCCTTAACCCACAAATTACAGGCCCAATTAGATACATGGCAAGGTCTAGAGGTGTTATGGCTGTGGAGGATACATACTACCAAGATGATGGTGCTACCCCATGCACTATACCTTTTCCGCCCCATCCCTGTGGAGCTACCAGATAAAATCCTAAAGAGATTCCAAACCATTTTCAACACATACATTTAAAAAAAACAACCCAGGAATAGCGAGGCGCTTAACTTGGCAGACACCCGCAAAGGGAGGCTTAGGTATCCCAAACGTGAAATCTTACTATAAAGCGACGATACTGGCGCAGGGACTGGGAGTCCTGTCAAGTGCCAAGCCGCCGATCAGGCTTCACCTGGAAGATCCATGCTCACACCCAAACAAGTTAGAACACATGCTGAGGTTATACGCAAAATGGGACCCTAAACGACACCGACCCATATGTAGCACACGTTTTCTGATCCACGGCTGGGAGAAGTGGGCACTCACACTCACAGGAACAGACAACCTCATATTTTTTGCCCCCACAAATATCCTTTTGGCACTGAGGACATACCCATGGGACCATGGATAAAAAAAGGCATAGAATCCATACATAACCTGTACACACCCAAGGTCTCAAGTCATTCCCAGAGCTGCAAAAAGAAATCGCCCTACCAGCTAAAACCATCTTCACTTACATTAGACTAAAGCACATAACAAATGCACACAACGTACACCAATGTAAAGAATCACGACTTACTAACTTTGGACTGCACTGCATAGGCAAAATTACAAAAGCAAAACCCCTCTCTCTATGCTACAATGCCATAAATGACGCAGACCCACTGACCAAACACACCTATATAGAGCAGTGAGAGAAGGACTTTGACACCACCATCCCTACCCCACTATGCCTTCAAGCCATACAAACAACTAGAGCATCCTCCCACAGCCTCTCCCACTGGGAAGCATACTGCAAGCTCCTAATGAGTTGGTATCTGGTCCCGGTTCGGCTAGCACACATGTATCACAATGTTTCCCCTCTGTGTTGGCGGTGTGGCTTACACGCTGGATCTCTTAAGCACATCTTTATGGATTGTCCCACATTGTTGACGTATTGGCAGCGGATAAATGAGGCTCTGTCCCTGATCTTGTCGAAACCAATATCGTTCATGCCAGAGTGCTACCTCCTCCATCTATCCCCCACTCTCTTCTCTACACACCAAAGGGTGGTTGCCATACACCTGTTGATGGCAGCAAAAACAAGTATAGCAAGCCATTGGAAAGGAGTTAATGTTCCATCATTCGTGGAGGTGTGGAACAGGGTGGAATCCACATATGAATACGAGCATTTGGCTTATAGGCTTAAAGGCAAGGAGGAGGTGCACACTAAAATGAGGACGAGCTGAAAAGACAATCGCCTGAAACTCAACCCCCATAGAACCTAGAATAACACAGTCATCCCACATTATATACATTCCAACACCTACCTGTTTACGCCACCTGATTTCAAATGACACCTAACTAGATACATACCGATACGGTCTTAGCTTGTACCGTTTGATTCATGTTACCCACCTCCTTTTTCCTTTTCTTTTCTTTATTTTTTCTGTTAAATTTATATCCGTCTCACACGCAGGATGTGCTACTACATCAACACCTCCAGGTACACATGAGCAACTCTAATACAATTACCTTGAGTTGGGCCATAGACACCAGGTTACTCAACAAAAGAGATAGGGGATCTCAGGTACAGCAGGGCTTCATCACTGATAAAGAGGAGAATAAGACTGGGAGACACAGGCACTATGCCAAGCTGGCGGAATACTCTACCAGGGATTCCACCTAGTCTAAATGGCAGCGATGCTCTGCAATACTTGTTGTATCTGTTGTCCCAGAGCGCAGCTGAAAATGCAAGAATTAGCACTGTTCCTGCAATATATACTCACACCCCCACTAGGGGTCAAATTGTGGAAAAATATATACAAATACGGAAACATGAAGAAAAAAAAATTGTCAAAAAAAAAAAGAATTAGCACTGTTATGTAATATGTGAATTGTACCCTGTCCCATTTCAAGCTTGACTGTACGCCAGGATCTCTGTACACCTGTCTTCATCCTAAGTAGGTACACCATCAGCGATAACCACATGTAAATTTGTGTATCTCGTGTACTGTATATATTGTTTGCACTTTCCATATTGTTTTGTATGTACCTTGAAAAGCTATGTAAATTTCAACAAAAAAAAAATAGATATTGAAAAAAAAAACAAAAAAACGAAAATGCCTGTGATATAAGGATTATAAGAGTACCTAAAATGGATGTCTAGCATATCCCCCAATGGGAACCAGGGATATTATTGATCAAAGGAGCATATCACTAACGTGATTTCTGATAGTGTCTTAGATTATAAAACATTAATTGTAAAATCTTCACATGAGTGAGAAAAGAACCCATTCTTGCATGGACATAATCAAGAATTATTCAGAAATCATCCTTAAACAGTGAATCTCAGGTTTATACTGTCCACTCTCACCCTGGA